AAAAGAAACTTTTAAAGGTGTGAACGTTTTTTCAAGTCTATCCTGTAGAGAAGCTATATCAGTTGAAAGTTGAACTGAATTATTCAAATGGACATTTAATGCATCACCTAAAGCTGATTGATATGATGAAGCTTCTTTTCTTAATTTGTCGTTTGTAGTTCTTAATTCTTGATTTGATTTTTCTATGGCTTCAATCATAAAAACTTTGCTACGAATATCTGTTTCAAGCTCAATAATTTTTTCGTCGGGATAATCTTTATCCAAGTTGTTATTAATTCTTTTTTTGTCTAAATTAAGTTTTTCATTTTCTGCTTTTAAATCTCTGATTATCGCACTGTAATGTCTCTCGGCTTCTTTTTGATATTGAAATAATTTATCGTTATATTCTATTTTTAAATCTTTAAAAATATTTTCATATCTAGACAAATCTTGATTCAAAGTATAGATTTCTTCTTTGTATTTTGGTTCAATTTCTTTTTGATATTTAGTAAAATTAGCAAAATAGAAATCTTTCTCTTGGGATATAACTACCTTCTCCTCTTTTAATTTTCTAATGTTTTTATTGTAAGCTGGTTCAAGGATGTCTTGATATCTGGTTAAATTAAACTTATAGTCTTCTTTTTCTGTTTCTAAATCTTCATTTTTTTTTAACAAATCAATGTATTTTTGATAGTAATCGATGTTTTGTGAGTATTTGTTTTCAGTATTTTCTTGATCTAGGCAAGTTAATCATTTTCAAATTGAGTTATTTCATTCCAAAGTATTCAAATATTATTTATTGTATTTACTTTGCAAAAATAAAAAAAAAATAAAAACAAGTACTTACTTATATCCACTAATCCATCTATAAGTCCAGACGTAGTCATTTATAAATCATATAAAATTCTGCGCAACGAGGAGAAATAATTAGCGAGCTGATCTTTTGTGGTGTGCAACATTTCAAATCCGGCTGTAATATTATTGAACAATCAGTCCCTCCATAAATGCACCCCCTTGGGACCGAGGGACAGCGTGCATTTATGGAGGGTGTGCATTTATGGAGAGAAGCAATTTCATTGGTCACAAATGATACACAATATTTTAAATACAGTAATACTAAAATAACTATCCATTGTAGTTTGTTTTGATGAATTTACTTTTTTTATATTGATATATCTTTCAATTTTATTAACCAATTTTATTTGTTTGTAGTGTTATTTTTCTTGCTGTAATAAAAATGAATGTACAGTTTCAAGATCTTTAATGCTTCCTCAAGGCTTAATGTCATCTTCTCAAATTTGTCAGCAGGTACATTCATTTTATTTTTATATATTTCTGCAAGTTCTTTGATTATT